ATGTACTTCATTAGATTTATGCTTTAAAATTTAATCAACTTCAGAACACAAGGAAAAGGAAGACAAAAAGGGACAAAGTGCGAGTATACCTGTCAAAAATAAAAAGTATTTGCAAAAGGAATAATCTCCTTTTAATCAGCAGAGATAAACATATGCCCTGCTTGTCCTCTAGAAACGTTTGTATAATAGTTCCCCACATATTTATGAACTGATAGGGATAAATATATGTCCTTCCTTGTACAAAATGAAACCAAGAGCCATAATGTACAACTGGATGAAAAATTCTAAGTCAGATATAAACATATGCCCTGCTTGTCATTCGAAAAAGTAAGTCTATACTCATGTCACTTTATTAGTAGGAATACTGCTACCTAAGGAATAACTATTCCACAAATGAACTGTTATTAAACTCAAAATCAGGGATAATCTGTCACAAAGATTTATTCACAGACACTGATGTGAATTGAATTTGGTCATTCAAGGTGTAAAAATTATGACCGACGACTTCATAGACATGTTCCTGCCTAACTTGAACGTTTTCACACTCATGCGTACCTAATGAAGTTTTCATTTAATATATCTTTATATATTTTAAAACAGTTACTGTTAAAAGTTGTCATAAATGTTGTATACATCAGTAAAATAGCAGGTAACGTCAGATTTATATATATATATATATATATATATATATATATATATATATATATATATATATATATATATATATATATATATATATATATATATATATATATATATATATATATATATATATATATATGAATTTATTTATATTTGTTTTAAATGAAATATAAATCATGCTTATTATATTTGCATTATGGATTTAGTAATCTATATCAGAAAACGCTGAAACTTTGTACACTTCAGTAGAATAGGAATGGCTTCAGCTGACCAAAATGTTTTATCACTTCCGCGGTTACAGCGGTGCGGTCATATTGACATACACATGTAGAACATACGTGGCCACAAAGGCATCGACATAGATTATCAAAGCGGACGTGTTTAATAGAAATTTCTTCCTTGCCAAAACTAAACTTGGCTTAGTGTTCATGAAAGCAAAATGAATAAATAAATTTTTAATATTATTATAATTATTTAAGAATGTGTACATAACGGTAACATTTCCTACAGTCAGCTATACCATCGCTTCTATAATTGCGATAAGTTCGGTCAGTTCTATCACTTTTTTTTTATTCTACAACATTGAGTTGCTCACGTATGCAAATAGTGTACAAAATAACAATGGAATTGGATAGCAAATATTACTAACATAGCAAAATATTACTCACTTAACCTTTAAGAGATTGTTAGTAAAATAAAAGAATAAAATTGTATGGGGAAAAAAATGTCATACCTTACCTCTTAAAAAAAATTGAAGCTATCCAACACACATCTAGTTCTATCACTTTTTTTTTATTCTACAACATTGAGTTGCTCACGTATGCAAATAGTGTACAAAATAACAATGAAATTGGATAGCAAATATTACTAACATAGCAAAATATTACTTACTTAACCTTTAAGAGATTGTTAGTAAAATAAAAGAATAAAATTGTATGGGGAAAAAAATGTGGTACCTTACCGCTTAAAAAAATTGAAGCTATCCAACACACATGTACTTTTCACGGCGTCCTAAAAGAAACTAAAAAGCGACACTATTTGAACGACCGTGTCCAGATTTTCCCCGTGCATGATTTCCATTGGGCATTTACCGAATGTTTTCATTTCCAAGAATCACTTGCATTTGCCTCTCCTAATTTGGCAACGCCAAAAACTTCCGAGGATAATGCAAGCGCGAAAACTCTTTCTATACACAGTACATTCCAATGTACATAAAATATTTTAAGTAAAATTTAAAATTAATTTGTTGCACTCCTGACTGCAGTAAAATTAAAAATTAAAAACAGAGAACACAAAAGTTCATGAAGTGTTGGCAACATCAAGTGGTTACGAAGTTATGCAATATTTATAGTCCAATACTTCATAATTAAAAAACATGAATTATTTTAACTTGGCTTTATATCTTGAAATATTCCCTATTTGTATACCAAAATTTATTCATAATTCTAACATATTTGTTGCACTCCTGACCAAGAGCATGGGAGTCTTTAAAGTAGAATTGTGAAGCGAAAATTACCTCGGAACTTGTTAATATTTATTAACTTTCATAAAAAACTCAAAGTAAAGATAAAAACACATCTGAATTGATAAACGTGAAAAGACAGAAGAAGTGTAGGTATACAATGCAATATAAAAGAGAACGAAGCTTGTGGAAGGGGTTTAATTTATGAGTTGTTTAGTTCCCATGCAAACAGTTTGATAATGACAAGCTATACACCTGTAAAAGGCTGCACTCCTACTCCATTCTGGCCATGAACAAAACCACGAAATATTAAATTAACTTAATTACAAATGAAATTCTTAAAATATATTTGAATATCTACATCCACTAAATATTATCTCCTTTATTTCTTATGAAAATAATGGTTGTTAATCAATCAATAAACACCGCTAAGAAAGCAACCTGTACAGATTTTTATGAGCAGCGGCTGTTCCATCAACCAGAATGAAGTACTTTTCAATAATATAATATTTAAGTAAACGTATTTTATCTAACGTTATTTGATTATTTATTTAAGAAATAAGATATCATTTTTAGAGTTTCATTGGGATATGACATGTGATATGTGATATATGATATGTTACTTAGTGTTCATGAATAAACGCCCAAAGGGCGTTATAGTAGATTTGATCACGTACATGTACCGACTTCATGTCATATCCCAATGAAACTCTAAAAATTATATTTTATTTCTTATATTTATATTCTACTTTTATTTGAGTTAAAAGGAAAAATACTCACTATTTAGAATTTGTTATGGAAATGCAACATAACGTACTTACGACGTCATGTGACGTCACAATCGGAACTTTCCAAATGGCAGTTTGCTTTCCATACACAAGAAAGTCTGATCATTTGATCTACTGCATGTCATTGAAAATTGAAAGTCAATTTATTTAGTATTGTCATATAAGGACAGGCATCGGCAAATGTAAATATAAAGATATATGTACAGATACATCTTTGCGTGTTAGAAAGTGTCAGCTATCGCAGAAAAAAATACACAATCCACTTATGGAGCTTATGTATTTTTTCTTCAACACCTTTAACATTAATTACTTTACTAACGGGAACGCTTATTAACTATAGATATTGATTGCTTTTGTCAGGTTAGCTTTTTGAAAAGTTATTACATATACTCGTTTGCCGAAAATCCACAAGCTATTAAAAGACAAACTATCATATGTCGCGCTTTCTGAATTCAATTTAAGTTAAATATTTCTCTTGATTGCGGAAACACCGATGAACAAATTAAGTTAAGGGAAGAATAGTTCCAAGATTTTTTTTTACAAATATCAAGATATACGTGTTCCTTTTAAAGGAATGATCGATATAGGATATCAATTGTCAGCAGATGAAATGCCTTAAAGGTGCTTGGACACAGATTTGAAGTTAATATTTTCTGAAATTTTCTGTATAATTTCATGACTTATATGTTGCTATAGCATTTCATATTAAAATATAGTAAAAATCTTATTTCATCTCGAAGTTATTAACACTTCATCTTTCTTGACGCATTGGATTGACACATCCTTGCACTTTCACATATTTTAATTTTATTCTTAATACTTAAGAAAAGTGGCAATTTTGTTGTTCATTGTTGTGTATTAATGACAAATATTAAAACTTTAACCTAGAAAATTCAGAGTAGAAATGTTCGAAAGCAAAACCCACTCACAGTATTGTAAGTCCGTGCTCAGTGGTGTGTGCAGAGTTTAACAATTGAACACACCCGGTGAATCGTAAACATTAACAATAACAGAGCTCGTGCCCTGTTTACAAAAACAGTTTACGTTTCACGGATGTGTTCAATTTGTTAAACTCTGTACACGTCACAGAGCACGGACTGACAATACTGGTGTGTTGGTTTTGCTTTCGAACATTTCTATTCGGGATTTTTTGGATTATAGATGTAATATTTTTCATTAATACATAACAAAATCGCTTCTTTTCTAAAATATTAAGGATAAAATTAAAATTGTGTAAGTGCAAAGATATGTTAATCAAACGCGTCCCGGAATTCGTAGTTCCAATAATTTCCAGATAAAAAAAGGTTTTAATTATATTTTCGGGTGAAATGCTATTGCAATATATAAGTCGTGATATTATACAGAAAATTTGAGAAAATATTAAGTTCAAATCTGTGTCTAAGCACCTTTAAGATACTTATAAGTTTATGGACGTTTAAACAATAATGAAAATATTTATGTATTTATTTATTTAAGCATTTGTTCCATGTGGATTTGAAAAAATATTTTTCTAGAACAAATTCTCTAAAATAAATACTCTTATGTTGATACGCCTTGATGTGGTTGGCGATATTGTAAAAAGTGCTTCAACTTTCCTGGTTTCTTGAAGAAACATTTAACTCATACAACTAATAAAATTACCAAAATGTGAACAGAATTTCAATAATCAACAGTAACGTAAAAAGTATTTTTATAGCCCCAAGTTTTAGGTTACACTCAAGAACAATACATGCTCTCTGAAAAATGCATGGTTTCCATAGTTACAATGCAACAAGGTATTTTTGGTTGCAGTTTTGAACCTTTTGCTCTGAAAATTTTAGCGAGTTTTCACCAAATTTACTTTCATTCCATTTTCCACATTTTTTACAGAATGATTGATGCTTGCCGAATTTTGACTGAAAAACGTAAAATTATTAGAGTTTTTACGGTCTTTGGATTCAAACGTTTTCAATACATCGGATAAATATAAATCAGATTTTCTTTTCTTTAATCCTCATCATTCGTCATCATGACCTACGCAATGTTATGTTTTATTTAATTAGAAAGAAATCCTTTTGAAATTTAACACAGAAAGTTACAAAAGTGTTTGTTTTGTTTTTTTTTAAAGATGAAACAGAAGATGAAATAAGAATTCTCTTGATTGGAAAGACCGGTGCAGGAAAAAGCAGGACAGCAAACACAATCTTAGGAACGGAGAAATTTTTATCAAAAGCATGTATGCATGCAGTAACACATGAAGTACAATATGGTAAAGTCGAAATCGAAGGAAAACGGCTAATGGTGGTTAATTCGCCGGGATTTTGTGACTTGGCGATGAAAGAAGAAGATATTGATAGAGAACTACGAAGATGTGTTGAATGTACCTCTCCAGGATTGCACGCCTTTGTACTTGTAACGGGAATCGGTCGATTTACCAATGATGATCATTTAGTATTGCAAAAATGCAAAGAAAAGTTTGGAGATCATATGAAAGAGTATTTAATTGTTCTGTTTTCCCGATGTGATGATATTGAAAGAAAAGGAAGTTCGATCGAAAAGTTTCTATCAGAAGGTGATGACCAGCTTATGAATATTCTTGAAAAGGCAAAGAACAGATACATTGCCTTAAATGACAATGCTCCTGAGGACCAAAAACAAAGGAAAGTGGTAAAATTGAAATACATGATACAGCGTTTGATGAAGGAAAATAAAGGTAAAATTTTTACCAACAAGATGTACCAAGAGGTAGAAGAAGCTTACCAAAAGAAAAAGTTAGCAGAGGAGATGAAAAGAAAAGAAAAGGAAGAAAAACGAAAACATTTACAAGAAATAACCAGACGAGAAGCTGCTCTAAATATGGAAAGAGAATTGTTTGAGAAAAGGAAAGCTGAAGCTGAGGCAGCAGCTATTAGTCACACGAAACTACTTGAGAAAAAATATGAAAAAGAGAAAAAAGAACTTGAGAATAAAGTAAGAGAATGTGAGGAAGAAATTGAAAGAGAAAAAATTGGGCGTATAATGATTAACCTACAAGATGAATATCAGAGACGAATACGGTCTCTAAAGGAAAGTAACGATCAAATAACATGAAACTTGGAAGATAAACTTCAAGAAAAAGAAAGAGAGTCTCGAAGGGAAAAAGAAGAATTTCATCGTCAATTTGAGGCCATGATGTCCGAAATGAGAGAAATGCACAAAAAGAACCTTGAACAGCACCGCGAGACACACAGAGAAACTAGTAAGAATCTGAATTACAGTTTAATCAATATGAACAACTCCTTTTTTAGAAGAATGATCAAAACAAGATAAAAATTAAAAGTAAATACTATATCATTGTTGGTAAAGATCTAAAACATATGCTTTACCTTTCAGCGAGCAAACCTCAATCGAGTGGATCCAGATGCATATTATCTTGAGCGATTCCAGCATCTTATAAATCAACAAGAGTGTTGTATTGAGTTTCGCTCATTGTAAAGTAAATGTGGACACAAAGACCTATCTTCTGGATTTTGTTTTATATCTTTTGCATATAATGCACTTTTAATGTCTATTTCTTTGTGTAACATATTACATGTGAAAATTACATTCTTAATTGATATTACTAGAATGTTGTACCCTCGAATCATTGTTATTTATGGCATTAGCGGTTCTATATAAAATAGTGCTTCAAGACTAAAGAAGTACTACGGCTGCTTTATGTCACACATATGAACTACTTCTCTCCTTACTTCATATTTTTAGCTCACAGATCATTTTTTATCATAGCTGCATTTCTTCGTTTTCTCTGACATCATGTTTTCGAGGTATATATGTTCAAAGTCAGAAGTACATTGAAATATACTTGGGTACATGTAAAACATCCAAATTTTACATTGCTAAATCATAATATTTTTTTATGAAATTGATACATTTATTGGCATGAGAAATAAAGTTATGTAATAATGTCACCACGTCTATGTAGATGTATGCATTGGTTTAATGTGTTGATTTGTTAGTCCAAAATGTTTTGTGTAGGTTATTTTGAATTAAATTCGTCCTTTTTTATTTTTCAATGTAAAATACTTCAAAGCAATGATTCCAAACTTTATATATATAAAAAATTCTTACTAAATTTTAATATTTTTTTAATTTATTTTTTGATACGTTTAAGTTTTTTTTTTCAATTATATAAAGAGTCATTACTAAATTATCTTTTTAAAATATCAACAGCAGAAAAATTCCTACTATTGTCATATGACGAAGAAGCTGAATGAATGGTAAAAAGGGGATTAATTGCTGAGTCGTCGGTTTTGGTTCAACAAGTTTACCTGATTACTTGATCAAAACACGGCAATTAGACTTTGATTATTAGTTTGCTTTTTTATGATTGTTTTATAACAGCGCGTAGTTGCAACGGGCAATAACTCCAAACAGCAAACTTGGTTCCATGTTATGAACGATTTATTCATACAATATGTTTTGAATATTGACTCTTCATAATCAGATAATATGCAGAGATGCACAAATGTAATAACTCAAAGGATGAACATAGATCACAATGTTCATGTAATCAGAGAACATTGCCGTGTACTTTATAATGGAGAAAGGAGATAAGTCTTTGTTAATTGGTGAATTACCAGTATTAATAATTTGAAACTTTAACTAACTGATTTTATTTACCAAATATGTAATTCGTATGATGCAGAGCTTCCCTAACATTCATAAAGATAAACACTTACATAATGATTTGCGATCTCAGCTTTTTCAACCCTATCTCCTAAACCTTTGATATGAAATGATTTTGTAAATTTTTACCATCGATCTTGGCAATGAGACCTGAGGCTAATAGATTTAAAAAAAAAAAAAACCTTAGTAATTAGTTTGCTGTGTTGTATTTTTTTTAAATAAAACTCTAAAAACATTCAAAAATGTTCTTCATCCAATATATCATGTATTATTTGGGTCGCCCGGGTGGCGCAGTGGTTAGAGCGTTTGTGTTCTAGAGTCGCGGAGTAAGGAGTTGATCCTTTCGTCGCGGGTTCGAATCCCACTGTGGGACGTGAGACTGGTCCTTCGGATGAGACCGCATAAACGGGTCCGTATAGACCATATAGGTCCCGTGTCGCAGAAGGTGCTGGCACAAAACGTACCCCTCACTGCTCAATGACCCTAAGTCCTGAGTATAGGTCAAAATTTGAAGCACTCCACCGGCAAGTGGTGGCGTCTCCATTTGAGTGAAATATTCTCGAGAGGGATGTTAAACAACAACAAGTAAACAAACATGCATTATTTGTACCAAGGGAATTTTAAGCGTGATACCACCATATAAGTGGAGTAAATATATTTTGAAAAGGGTTATACATATGGTTTCTTAAGTAATTGATGCTTGACATTCATTCATGCCATTACATAAAGTCTTTAGAAACACTGAAGAAATTGTTCAAATTTCTGTCGAACGAATATTATCAATGGTTCAAGACAATTATAAAGTTACGCGAGATAAATATACTACCCTGAAGGTTACCTTAAACTGCAAACGCCTGAACAAAACTGTATAAACAATTTGAATCATTTATGCAAGTCCAAGTAGACATGGAAGTTGACATTTTTAGTACCAAACGCTCTACATAACCAATATCAAAGAGCTAAAGTATTTATAAGGATGCTTTTTCCTCCATGGCACCAGATCTCACCTTTGTTTTAAGAATTACTTTTAAGCTCTGCTCGTCATTTGTTTTGTACAAATGGACTTTTGAGTGAGATCACTGTTCGGTATTTTCACATTTTATTTTATGTAAATTTATCTCCAATCTGAAATTGGTGAAAATTTTAAAAGGGGGACACCTCAAAGGAAATGGTGGAAAGCAAACTCAAGATTGGTTAGACGAATATACTCCTTTCATAAAGACCATTGTAAGGAGATTGTATGAAACAAAAGGTTTTAAATTAAAAAAACAAATTACGGAATCCGTAATTCATGCACCTGCATTAAAATTACATTTAACTTGGTGCACTGTGACATCCAGTGGCTGCTATTCCTGTCTTTTTTACTCATCCCATCACCTATATATTGAGTTAAACAATTCAAACTTCTCACATTTAATTCAGAATTCGCACAAGAACATTTAAATACATTCTTGTGACAGATAAAATATGTCAGCTCTCGTCCTATACCTAATCTGCTTCCTTGCAATGCAGGAACGGACCACTAGACCCCGGAATAAGGAGGAAGTAAGAATCCTTGCAAGATACGTGAATTTGTTCGTGCTTACTATATTAATCTTTCTTCACTTAGGGCGGCTATGTTAGTTTAAGAGTCATTGTATATTAAAAGTACTTTAAATAAAAATAATTATATTATTCTATATATATATTGGAAAATGTATGTATTTTGTAACTTCAGTTTTACTGGTTTCATGCGAATGGTGCACTTACTATAGAACTTGTCTGCAAACTTTTCTAACAACCCACGAAGTTTTTCTTGTTTTAGCAATGGGGAAATATAGACAATCAATGAGGTGAAAAAATTTTACATGTGCAATCTCCAATCTTTCTGCTAAAGCTTATCCAGACTGGGCAAGGGAATATTCCGGAATAATCCAAAGGATACAACTGAGATACGGAATGGAGATCTAGTTTTTACTCACCCTGATAATACAGCCGCTAATTAACATTGTGAAGAATGGCAAGCTTTGGGAAATTATCAAAGTATATCAATGGAAAATTTAATGAACCTGTAATACCTACCACGTTGCCTACTGGTAACTATGAACAGTGCTGGGAAATCAAAAATTATGGTTACACAGAGACACTTGTACAGTCAATGCAATTTTATGATAAAGAAAACGCTCTATAATCGTCTGAGAGTGCTGAATATTTCAGTAAGAACAGAAACTTGGACTTATGCCAGACTTAAAATATTTACAGTAGAGTGGTAATGGTCAACCAGTCTGGTAAACTTCTTTTCAGATACACTGGCTAACCCTCCGGCTCCCAGATGAATCTTGCGTTGATCCAATTTGCATAACGACAGGTATCAAAAGTAACCCTATCTTAGTTGCAAACTGAAAATTGAGATATCCATATTATAAACCATACTATTTTGATATATGATTCCACATCTGACATGTGATCTCATTTCTCTCCATCGCATGCCCTAATAAATTGCACTTTAGCAAACCATTTCAAATATTGTTGCCCTCCTCACAAAGAGGAAATTAATGCATCTAATTTATTGATTAATTGTATGTTGTTTTACGTCCCATTCGAGAATTTTTCACTCATATAGAGACGTCACCATATACCGATGAAGGGCGTCGAATTTTGACATTTACTCGGCACTCACGACCATTGAGCAATGAGGGATCTTAATCGTGCCAACGCCTGTCGTGTCACGATGCCGCGGTTTTTAAGGTCTCATCCGAAGGACCCGCAACTTTTTACTTCAAATTGCCGAGCGCATGCCGAAGGAACAGTTGCTACCTATACTTTATCGACTAAGGTAAGTCGCGGCCGAGATTTGAACTCACGACCTCCCGATCACGGAGTCTAATTTATTGAAAAATGTGAATAATGATTGATTTTCAGTGACCATTCAAAGTATTATACATATATTTGAAGGTGTTAAGAGGGGGACTTATTACTCGACCGAAGTAAATAAGAAAGGATATATTTTACAATCATATGCAAAGATTTAATAAGTGTTAACATAAATCATTTATTAAAATGATTTTCTTCATTTAGTATATATCATATATAGTATATTTAAATGAAAATAAATGTATTGAATTTCTGTTAGATTCAAAAGATATTAATTTTATTGGTTACAAATAAAAGCTTTTCAATGTACAATTTACGCGTAGAGTGCATATACCTAAGATAACTAATTAACCAAGCTCACTTACCTAGCGAGTATCTTATCTAAACCCTGAAATATATAAAGGATATTCATGTTTTGCAGATGAATATGGAATTTATTTCACGAGTGGGACAGGATTTTTTTTTTATATTTTAACGAGTGCGAAGCACGAATGAAAATATCAAAAAATCCTGTCTTAATATTTCTTGATTTGAAACGGGAGACAAACCCGACCATGCGAGATTATAAAAGAAATAAAGAATGAACCTTTGAGCTAGGATTCAAGGTATCATACCGTGATCACTTTCTTAGAAAACGCGCTTAAATTATTAGTTAAAATTAAAAAAAAAAAACCTGATGATGAATTTCAACGGGTCAATAGATACAACTTTTGTAATTGTACCTCATGCACTCCAGTTGATTCTTTCCATTTAGGGACCGCATTATCAAAATCTTCGACCGCTCCAGGTTATAGCTCATGGATGGCAACAGGGTTGTTCTGAGATTTACTGTGCTTCAGAAAAGCAAATTCATCTGTCCCAGCAGACTTGGGATAGCTTCCTGAGACTATTTTGTACATG